AGATATTGTTTTGAATAATCATCTATTTGATTGTTATACTAGTTTCACTTAACTACTTTACAATGCTAAACTAACTGTTTAAAATTGAATTTTCAAGAATGAAATTATCTAACACAAGCTTTTTAATTATTTTAAAAAAATATTTAGTTTATTTTTTAATTACTAATATTATGATTTACCTGCTTTGAATCACTAACTTAAATTATATCTTAAAATTAAGAAAAATCTTTATTTGATATATTTAGATTTTACAAAGTTACAGAGGAATTACTTATTTGAAGAGAATAGCAATTTTAGGAATATGTAGCATTCGAAGACTAATAGTCGATATTATCAATATTAACAATACCAATTATATTATTTATTTATAATCCACACTAATAAATTTAGTTATCCAAATATTTAAAATAGAATATTATATTTGATAAATATAAAGAATTAAATTAATTAAATTAAAGGCTATTTGTAATATTTATTTAAGATTATTTTAAAGGATCTGCACTTCTTATCATTAATTATATTACATTACTAAATTAAATATCTATCAATTCTTGAAATAAGCTCAAAGAATTTTCTGTGTGAATATAAATATTGATGTTAATCTTCTAAATTCCATCTATTAATTAATTATATTGCTGTGCCTGATTATTTTTTAAATAATAGAAAATTTTAAAGAAATTCATATTTTATGAATTTTAATATGGAAATAAAAAAATTTTTTCATTATTCTCATAATACCTTTTTAATGGTTAATTATTTTTAAGGTCAAACTTTGTAAAACTCATTTTATCAAAAGTCTCTAAAAATTAAATAAATTTAGATATATAAATTAAAAATTAAATCTTTGATTAAAACTTTTTTTAATTAATTTTTATATTTTAAGCTTTTTTATCCTGAATCCTTAATATTTTTATTTTTTTAATTTTAATTAATTTTTTTATTAATAAAAATGAATCTTAGTTTTGGAAATAAATAGATAGACCAATAATTTAATTTAAATTATGAAATATTTCAAAATAAAAATTATAAATTATTAAAAAATCTTTAAATTATAGAAAATTTAATAAATAAAATGTGTTTTATATACCCTTGATAAAAATTCTTTAAAGTATCTTTTTGTCAAGAAAAAGGTTTTAAATTTCAAACTTAAAATTCTAATTATTATTTATTTTAATAAATTAATTTACCAGTAAAAAAGTTGTTATCAAATTTTATGAACTTAAAAATGGAGATTCACTCGTTCCTAGCCCAAATAAATAATCTTATTGTTAAGTTTCAGTTGTGTTAAAATAAAAATCCATCTAACAATTCAAACAATTTTAAACATTTTCTAAGCACACTCCTATTGGTAAAAAGTTGTTACTGTAGTAGTATTAGATAAAGAGCTATTGAGAGTCAGCTAAATAAATTAAATTTAATGTTTTATCATTGTATTTAATGGTTTATATTTTAAAAAAAGACTCAAAATTCTTACTATTTTAATTATATCTAAATAAAAATACACTTCCTGTATTGCTTTCTCCAATACCAATCAATTAAATATCTTCAAAAGAATTAATATGATCTGAATCAGAAGACATTTAAATTAGTAGTTAAGTATCTTCTGTATCTATATTAAAACTAATTACCTTATGATCATCACACAGTACAATTAAGTAAATATTGTTGCCATCATTATATAATTGACCCATTACCGATTTATAACATTAGTATTTGGCTTATTTTTAATTAAGTTAATAAGTTAATAAAAAATAATTATTTACTTATTGTCTTTTTATATTTAAATTTATATTAATTGAGTGAATCCCATACATAAACATTTCCTAATACATCTAATCCTACAAGAGAATGATTTTTTTCTGAATATAAAGCGTAACATGTTTTATTCAAATTGTCATCTAAATTATCTGAATACAAAGCTTTTGCCTTTTAAATTTTAAAATCAATCATCCAGAATAAAAAATTTTCTTTATTGTCTTTATAAGGTAAACCTGTAATAAACCAAAGAATGTTTTCTTAGTCCATAAACGAAGTCAATACATAACCCATTCTCGTCAAAGAAAGATTAATTTAACTTAATTAAAAACTCTTAAAATATGATTATTTTAATTTATCTTTGAGACTGAATAAATTAACTTACATAAATATTTTGATTTGAAAATATCTCTATATAGATTATTTATTGAGACTTCATCAATGCAAAAAAACCTTTAGGGTAATTTTGAACTTACATAAAATAGTTTTCTTTTGCAAATATGCTGTCATTAGGTATTAAATTTGATTTCCATATAATATGACCATCAATTGTATCTTATATAACTAAAATTTAATAGTAACTATATGAGACAAAATAATTTATATTATTTTGATTAATTGCAAATATTTTTGTCCATCCACTAGAATAGTAAGCTTTTTTTAAAAAAATAATTTATTTCTTAAAGTAAAAATGAGTTAAATAATATTTAATATCTAAGACGTCAATTATTAAGTTTTAAAAATTAAAAATATGAAGAGAGGGGAAGTAAAATATTAATTTTAAATTACTATTAATCTTAACTAATTAAATTGAAAGACGACTCCTTCATTAATAACAATTATTGGTATTTTCCCCTCCCCAAAATAGAAGATAATTTAATTAAAAACCTAGTTAAAAGTATGAAATTATTTAATAAATATTACCTTAACGCCATATAGTTTTATTTTCTTGATAAGAAAAAACGAAACTTTATGTCTAGAAAAAATAATTATAATTCATAGGTATAAATAACTATTTGTTTTCTTAAACGTAATACCATTTAGTGTACTAAGTTCCTTAATAATATACAGGAAAATCCTAAGCAAACTCAAAAGTAAGAGAATCTATTGATTATGTTAACTAATTCCCTATAATGGTAAAATCAAGTCTGTATAAGGTGTAAGGGTCACTCATAAATAAGCTAAAATTCTATTTAGATTATTCAGTAAATTAAATAAATTAAACGTTCAAAAAATTTTAGCCCCAATCCATCAAATCTATTTTTAAAGAAAATAATTATATCAATATACAATTAAAATAAATCATTTCTACTCATATTTTGTAATATAGTAAATTAATTCTAACTTAAATCTCCAATTTATAAAATGGTAAGTGTGTAATAATTGCCAACTAAAAATATCAAATTCCAATCATAATAGAAGTCTATATCTGTATACCATGTTTTTTAATGCTACACTGTTTCTATTTATAAATTTAGAATTTAAAAAATTTAAATATTATTAAAATATAGTATACATTTTTCTGGGAGATAATTATGTTATTGAAGTTAGTATGTTGTTAAATTTAAAGACCAAGCTTGAAATCCAAAATCATCTTTTATTGTTATAAAAACTTGCCCATTATTTAGGATAAATGTTCTTGGATATTTAATAAAATTATTAACATCATAGTAATAGTTGCAAATATCTTCAGAGTATATCTGTTTAAACTAAACAACATCAATTATGTAGAATATACAAGCTCTAGTGGTTAAAATAGCTAAGTCAGTGCCTTAAATAAGGCTTACACCTGTTGTTAATCTAAATATGAGGAACTTTACTATCTGTAATGTATAAACATTTGCTGCGATTAGCTGATTTGAACTAACAATTAGAATATAATTATTTTTCTAAATATACTCCATTTATACAATTGTATAATCAGCTATTTTGTAAAAAAAATTTTTAAAGTCAATAAAATTTATGGATAATTTACGCTTGATTGCATTAATGATGTTGTCTTCATTTTTCGTAATGTCATCGTAATACACTACATTAGAAATTTCAGTAACTCCATTTTAATTATTCGAAAGAGTATTGATTAAGATAATATTTGTTTTTGGAATTTTTAGATAACCTAATATCTATTGACTATCGAAGAAGCGAGGCACTTAAATAATAGAAATGATATTATATATATTTAATTTTTATTAAGTTACAGTGTTGAATAGAAAATTTTGGACACTAGGATGTCTACCCTGATAAGACATAATGTAACAGAAGATAAATTAGTTATAAAAATGATGCTTTAAAATTCATTCTTTTATTTTTTTTGTCTCTCCTTCTCTATCTCTTAAAAAACTCTACTTGTTTTATCTAATTTTCTTAACTAATAATTTTTTTAATTATATATATATATGTCTGTTTGTTAGCTTTAATATTTAAAAAACCATAAGACTATAGTATAAGGAAGATAAACTAAAGTTTTTTTACAAAAATATAAAAGTTTTATAAAATTTTAATGTTTATAATATAGAATAGTATAGTTTTACTAAAATTAAAATTTAATAAATATTATTTTATAAATGACAGGAAACAGAGTGCAAATACAAAAATCACAGATACAATAACTAATAAGGCTAAACTAGGGTAATTTAGATAAAATGAATTTAATATTTTATAAAAAATACTATAAATATTATACATAAATATAACCATTTGTAATTCAAAATATATTATATACTCTTTAGCAGTAAACCGATTAAGAAAATAGAATTATAATCCATTTTAATTAGTAAATTATAAATATAAAATTAAATTTGGTAAATATTAATAATATTTTATTTTTTTGTGTATATTCATAATTAATTATTTTCTATACTTAGCTCTGTTACTTAAAAATCTTAATTAACTTACTATTCAATATCTAACTACTATATTTTAGATCTTTTATGAAATGGATTTTAAGTATTTATTCTTTTATTTAAATTAATTTAGGGTATATCAATTTTATTGGTGAATTGCATCAATTTAGTTTCTGTTTCTGTCAATTATACTTTTTTTTATATTTATTTAAAAAATGTTATAAATAGTTAAAAATAAATAAATAAACATATACCTCTTTTACTTTAAGAAATTATTAAATTTTAACTTTAGGTCTCCCATATTTTGTTATATAAAGGTGAACAAGATTACAAATTAGAACACTAGCTATTATATGGTACTTTGTCTTATTTTTCAAGTTATGAGAATAGATTAAGCATTTACACATTTGAGTTTTCTTTTAAGTCTACTTATTCGTTAAAAATTAAGTTTGTTAGTAATTAAATTAAATACTAAATTTATAAAAATTACTTTGTTGATCATTATATATAAGAAGATTGATGTTCAATTTATTATTTTTGCTAAAAGATTAATAATTTAACAGAATTCTTCTTATCTTTTTCCTTAATTCTTTATTTATTTGTTTTTTTTCAATTTTTTGTTCGTTTTTATGTAATAATTTATTTTTCAGATTTGAAAATATTTTTAATAATTTATGTTTCTTACTATCAATTACTCTTATTAAAATGGCTATAACAAAATAAATGTTGATTATAAAAATTATAGTTAATGAAATAATCAATAAATAATTGTAACCGTTTCCGTTTATCAAAACGCAAAGAAATACTGTTAAAGCGCATACCTTTGTGGATAAGCTATCTAACTAATTGTAGTTATCTTCTAAGTAAGGTTATAATTTATTTGCATATAATCCATAACCTGTTATAATCAATGTTATAATACAGCCTTTTACAATCTAATTCTGGTAATAAAGATTAAGTACAAGTATTATTGATATTTTTTATGCTATCTTTATGAATTCCCAATAATAAACATTGCTTTTGTACTCTCTGTACAAGAAGCCAAATTTCATATTTATAAATAAACTATCTAAATTCTTTTTATTCTTTGTAATATAAACTAGAAGAGCAAAAGGAATTATTATAACCCATATAATTAAGAAAGGAAGTATTAAGCTCAAGCTATAATATTTGTAGCTGTCTGTATAGCATTCATAATTGATATTGCTTAATATGTAAGAGGTGTCCCCAATTTATCTACATGAAAGCAGACTGATCATTTAAGAAACTAAATCTGGTTAAAGATACAAAAACAAGAAAATTGATCCTGTATAGAGTTAGTGTATTTTAAATTTGATTGATTTATCTACAAATTTTTAGTTAAATTTCAGGATAAAAGCAAATAATGCTAAAATAATAAAAGGAGAAAGTAAAGAAAAAATTAGTTTCTTGTAAATTTAAGGTATTTATATTTAACTATCTTTAAGAAAACATTCTAAAAAATCTATAGACGTTTTTATTGGAGTTCCTAAATATGTGGAAACTTCTACAAAATCTATTTTTTATTTGGTTAAAATTAATATAAATAATAGTTTTTATATAATTTAAAAAAAATAAGAAATAAATTACATGAATCAATGTTTAAGTTGAATGTGACAGTAGTACTTACTATTTAAACATAGTTTGTAAAAATCTTAATATAATTTTTAGATAAAATTTTTTATTTTTAGTTTTCAAGCTTATTTGATTTATCCTATGAACTTAGATTACTAATTTTAATACTTTCACTTTGGATTTTTTTAGATTTTTTGCGAATGTTGTTTATCAATATTCTTTTTAAGAAAAAACTTTCATCATTCTTAACAGTAAAAAATATAGAAATTGTTATCCAAAGAAAAGTAAGAGCCAGTTTCCAAAAATCATATCTAATACTTTCACATAACTAACACTAATACTTTGAACTTCTTGTATAGCTTTTCTACCAAAACTCTCCATGAATCTTTGTATAAATAAACATTTTTAAAAATATCATCAAATTAATTAATTAATTACATCACATTCTTCGCATAGTGGTCCTATATTTCCTTAATTACAAACATTATTTCCAAATGATGTTCCTATACAATTCTATAATCTATTATAGCATTATAATATTTATAAACTATGCTCTTCTTTTCTCCAAAATCCACTTTAGAGATCAACTACTCCATTTTAGCATTATCCTCCAGAAGGACAGGAATAACATGCTTCAAAGTCTAATGAATATTTGCCATCTTCACAAGTTTAACATTCTTTATAATTGTTATACTAATTAATGATCTCTCCATAAACACAATTCCTAAAATTAACATGCACTTCAAATGTATAATTATTTTCAAATATTTATGTTTAATTGTTAAATATCTTTATTGAGTCTGAAATAAATTCTATTATCAAGTAGGAATTAGGAATACCTATCAAGTCTAGATCATCAAATATAAAAATATTTTTGATAGGATCAATTGATTGGATAGTATTTCCTCTAAAATAATATTGAGAAGAATTTACTGTCTTTTGACTTATTCTTATTTGAGCTGTAATTTGCTATCCTTCAGTATATATTACAGGTTTACTGCTATTATCTCTTAGCTCAAAAATAAATTTAGGAAATTTATCACCACTTTTAAAATTATTAAATATAATTTAATTCTAATTTTATTAATGTTAAAAACTTTGATAGTTGACATTATAAAGTTATGTTGGATAAGAAAATTAATCATTTCCATAGTATGAAGCCTAATTAAATGAAATCAAACTTTATTTTATTTTAGGGTTTAATCCTTAATTATAAATTCCACCACCTATTTAAGCCTTGTTATTATTAATTTCAGTATTTTAAATCATTATCTATTATTAATTTGAGTTAACAGTTTATGCCAATAAATAAAAAGCACCTCCATTACCTTATATAGCTGAGTTTTCACGAAATTAAGATTCAACAATTTACATTTTGAAAATCTAAAATTAAAATAAATTAAATGGATAAAATTTAATTTTAAATTAATAAAAATGTCGGTAAAGTTGAAACAGTATTGTATTTAATTTAAGCTTTTTTTAAAAAAAATTGTATTTGAATAATATTATTACATCATTTATATCAGTTTTCAAATAAATTGCTCCACCATTTTTTATTGATGTATTTTCAAAAAAGCTTGAATTTTGAATTAAGTTAGTCATTTGATCATTTCCTAAGATCGCTATTACCCCTCCATTAACTGCCTAATGAAATAAAAATGTAAATATTAGATTTTATTGGGTATAAATTACTTTATTTTTAATGAATTAGGTGTTCTATATATTAAAATTTGAGTAAACTAATGATAAACAAGAGCCATAACAATTCTAAGAGCAAATAATTTCACTAAAAAATGAGTTATCATTAATAAAAACACTAGATCTGTTTAATTAAATCAATGAATTATTTTTAATTTATTAAGTTATAGCATTATTTTGAAGAATCCTTAGAGGGCTTGATTAGAATATATTATTGAACCTGCTTTGGCTAATCTCTAATTTACTTTATGTGATATCTATTAGACTTGGTTAAAACTTACATTTAGTTACATTTAATTTTTTTACTAAAATAGTTGAATTTATCGATTTAATTAAAAGAGGTATAGTCGATTCCTTCGAAGATGTCAAATCATAAAAAGTTGTATTATTTATTGTAATGTTTGAATTTTCAGAATTAATAAATGTGCATGCTTATAAATTATCTGGAGCAAGTATTTTTGAAAATTGAATAGGATAATTATGCTTCATCATATTATTGAATGTTAAATTTTAAATACTGATATAAGCATCATTTGCATTAAAAAAAATAGAATCTGTGTTTCCGAAAATATTTGTTAATAAAGCATTGTTTATAGTGAAATTATAGATTCTTCCTAACTGACCTTATGTTGCTTGATTCCTTTAAATTAAAAATTTTTATTTAATTGATTTTTTTAAATAATAAATTACTTAATTGAAACAACACTTGATAATTGATAAATTGAGTAAATATCAGTAAAATTACACTTATTCATACTCAAACTTATATAAGAATTTTAAGAATTTATGTAGACAGCTCCTCCATCAAAATGAGAATAACCTTAAGAGAATGAAGTATTGAAGAATATATTATCCATTTAGTTACTTAGTGGTTCTAGGTAAACAAAAGAAGCAATACTAGCAGTTGATTAAGAGAAGATAGAATCATTCAATTGAAATGTATTTGATTTTATTCTTAGACATCCTCCTTATTGTATGAATAATGCTGTGTTATCTTATAAATCATATGAAGAATTTGTAAATGAGCATCTATTTATATAAGTGTTGTTGCACTATATAAATGCAAAATTATAGAGAGAATCTGACTTAGAATTGCTAAATTATGTGTTTTAAATAAGCATATCTCCTTGCGAATTAATTATCTAAATAGCTGTTGTTGACTAAGTTAATGAATTGACGAAACCATTGAGAGTATTGTCATAAAAATTAGAATTTAATATTTAAATATCAGAAACTTAATCACAAGAAATGAACAAGGGGTTGG